ACAAGATTCAAACGAAACGAACTAAACAGACGATAAAATTGTTATTACCAATACACGACAGACGATCAAAACTGCCACTGAATTATAAAAGTCTAATGCATACCATGGTTCTCAAACCTACGTTGACTTATGGTATCGCACTCTGGGCGGTCAACATCCTCCACTTCGACTGAGACGCCGATGACCACGTGACTCCCTAAGTGACGAAAAAACGGAACAGTGATATGTCTATTTTTTCTAAAGGAAGCTCACCACTGGGTGATTTCTCCTCACATGTTTTTTCATGTCAATTTTATTCGTATAACATTTTTACCTTTGTACTTCTTTTATAGATGTAAAAATCAATAAAAAGAAAAACATAGATATTGAGTTTTTGAACTTTATTAAGGCAAAACATGCTTGAAGAAAGATAAATTATTTTTAAAGATAAATATTGTTTCTAAAATAAAATTAAATCTACCATTTACTTTTTCCCTATCAAGTTAAATGAAGTCTAGGTTTTTTACTGGTTTTTCCTCCCGGAAGTCTTTTAAAAGGTATATAATGCCAATAGAGAAAAATAGAGTAAAAAACGTTTGAATAATACATGGCAAGCAGTATTTTTAACATATAATTGATTCTCTGATGCCTGAAAAAACGAGGGTTCGGACAAAAATCACCCTTGGGGGCTGTAGAGGTTGAATCAGTTGAAGGGGGCAGAAAGGCGTGACAGCTGTATATCTCGCCTATTTCATCCCCGTCGACGGTGATATAAGCTTATACTAAAATTAAGACGGACTGGAAACACTTGTGAGGGGCCTTGCCGTAGATCAAGGGATGGAATTGAGATATATGTTGGAGCCCCATGGGCGGCGAGATTTGTCAAGGGGAAACACAACTACACCCGTTGGCCGTCCTTATATCTCAGCACTGGAAACACGCAACTTTTTTTCCAAACTTTCTCCTTTGATATAATTCACTCTATTGAATAACAAGAGAAGGAACTAATGAAAAAATTAGTCATTCGTTGATAAAAGAACATGATCATCTATAAGTCGATAAATCCATTCACGAACTTCATCACAGCTTTTAAAATTGCAAAGTTTTTTTTTTGCATAAAAACCCATAACATTAACATATGTGAATGGTATTTTCTTCGTTTCCGATCGTATAGATCCTTTTATTGGTGTTTCATTCTGTCATCACTTGCCCTGTACTAATATATCATTTCTCGCAGTCTATTGGTAATTCGAGCTTTTATAATATACAATAAATTAACGGCAGACCATCCCATGTATTGGAAGTAAAGGATCAGACGGCGGTCCAGCCAACGAGGTTTGGCACCAAGTAGTACCAACAGCTAGGTCATTTAAGCCACTGGAGTAGTCAGTCATTTTTTACAATGTGTGTTGACGATAGCATTTTTGATATTGATCAGAACTTGGCTATGGATTCGGGTCTACTGTTAGGAAAGAATTCCAGTATATGTTACTTCATATACAGTTTAATGAGTTTCTCCACTGTATTTGCAATTCGCAATGGTCACTTAGTATAGTTTAGACTACAACGAATACTTTAAAATGATATAGTTTTCTAGTCATTTGTGAGATTGTGGATGGTTCCGGCACGTAATTGTATCTATTTAAGATATATTTTTTATGAGGGTTCGCAACAGCAGAGGTCATCCCTCAGGGTGCCGGTGTTTTTGAAAAAAAGCCCATTTGTAAGTATGTCGGGTTCTCATGCAATGCAGGGCCGCTGGATTCGAACCGGGACCTTTACCTTTCATTGATGAGCACGTGTCAACGCCTAAACCGTTGCGGCCACCGGCGGCACTGCCTATTTACATACCATTCACTCATTTAGGGTAGTGGAGTACTCGATATTCATTCATCGCCCTTTACACCTACTACAGAACTAACCTAATTGAGGTTCGATCGGGTAATCAATATTTTGCCACCGGCTCTCCCACACATTCATTCCAATAAATACATTCACTCTCAACACTCATCTCTACGCGCTCCCTATATCGGGCCACAATGAGTTGAAGCCTTCAATTAGGTGAATGGTATTTTCTTCGTTTCCGATCATGTAGGCCTTATTATTGATGTTTCGGTCTGCCAAACGTGTTTTTCCCATCTGATTTCTGCTTAATGATTTACATAAACTAAAAATCTGTACCTACTCGAACATACACGCATCACATGGTTAAGCCTATCACTTTTCGCAGTCTACCAGTAATTCGAGCTTTTATAATTTACAATAAATTCGATACAATCCTCTTTAAGGGGTACCTCAGGTTACCATAAACGGCCCTGTTTTCTTCTGAATATAATATGTTCTTTTAAAACTTAATATAAAAACCAATGGATGCTTCAATAATAGCAGTACACTTCGCAGTATGCTTTGAAGGTGTGTAAAGTAACCTAGTTTTTATATTCGCGTTGTTACCTACTTCAAGTATAGCCGCCCTAACTTGATTTTCACACTTCGATCCATCATTGTGTAAAAACTACTGCCTCTATAAACATCCTTCGTCTTCTTTTTTTCCGTTCCAAGTTATCAGCGTAGGTTATCAAGCATTGGTTATGTGTTTCTGCATCCCAAACAAGTAATATTGTTAGTCGTACAGGTTCGTTTTATAATTAATTTGTTCTTTTTGTGAGTTGCGAAACGCTTACATGTTCACGTGTAGTCATTTCTTTAAGATTAAGTCTCGCTAAGTACTTAATCAATGCATTAGTAAAAAGATCTTTATTGGTTTTACATCTTGAAACTAACCGATATCGATTCGTTACACCATCTGAAATCCAAACGTAAAGGAAGGTATTTTTAAAAGGAAACATATTTTTGAGAGTGATTTAAGTTAGTTGTAGAGAGGTGGTTGAAATATTTCTCCTCGGATTTTCAGGATGGTTCATCAGCAAGAGTCTTTTTGAGAAATCCGTTTAACCCCCCATTGCTCTTCGTTCGCCCTTGAAGGCTTTATTGCTTTTTCATTTTATTTATAGGTAGATTTCTTTGGAACAAACAATATATTAAACTGTTACGTATTATACGATGAAAATCAAAAAATCATGTGAAAATAGCCTAAAATGGCTTAAAAAAGTGTTTAAACAAAGAAATAATTTGAAGTTTTCAGCTTGTCCTTTCGCAAGGAGAGGTTAGGACAATAGATTGTGAACGTGGTGAGTTAATTAACTAAGTTGTTTGATCATTAGCGTTGGCTATAATGTTGCCACAACGTGTGCCCGTGGTCAGACTAGTTCATGAGTGATGGCCCGAGGCAAGAACGCACTAATTTATTATAACGAATTACCATTATTCGTGCCAACACGCCCCAAAATTATTTAAAATTGATTTAAAAAAATAATTGTTGTTACCTTAAAACCTTAACTGTTTAAACCTTAAAATAATTCAGGATCTTCCGTCCAATTTTTTGTTTGAAATAAAGCTTACCTTTTGAGCTGATGCCGTTTGTCGAGGGTTACTGTATATTTTATTTATTGTAATCTTACCTGTTTGTAAACTTAGTAAACATTGCTTCAACTTATATTTTCCTCTTTTGTATCATTACTCCGTATCTTATTATCCTGTAGCAGGATTTTGAATAAGACAAACGTTTGCTTCTCATTACTCCGTTTTCCTATAGAAGGTTCTCGTTATTTTAAGTACTTATCTTTCAAACGTTTATATCATTTTCTCAAGCAGATATGAAATGTTTATTATTGTTGCAATGTACCGACTCTTATAATTTTATTAAGTTTTATCGGCATACTGGTGTTTTTAAAGAAAAATATCATTCAGTTTTATCCCATGTAGGAAAAGTTTTCATTTGGTATTATTCGTGACATTTCTTTAAATTTTAACAAAATATATTAAAAAAATACGTAGTTTGCATTTGAAGATAACAAATAAACTATAAAAATTGGTCGTTGCCGATCATTTGCTATTCTTACTTTGCTAGGTCCCATATTACTTACAATTTTCAGTGTGTCAGAATGTGGACACCTCGAATTTCCTGGAGCTGCTGAATCGCTTGAACAACAGTAAAGTGCCGGTTTCGCAAAATTCTAAAAGTCAAAAAACGGTCATCCTGTGGTTCAGTTGACCTAGGGCGTCCAGAACCGGGCCTTTTATGGTGGAACCCAGTTTTTCGAAAACGTCTAACGGCGTCTCATACTGTTTTGTAGGGAACTCAGATGGCAATAGCCGCCCGCATACCTAATGGAACGTCCATCATCAATAAGAGCCACACCATGCGCAACATCCTCAGCTCTAAGTGGCATTTTTAAGAAGCCAGAGGCTTTAATCTCTAATGAAAATAATAATAAGAAGAATAAAAAGTACACTTGATAATAAGCTAAACAAAAGAAGAACTGGCTGGATAACGTAAATAATTGAAACCTACAGTGAGAATTAAATTAATTTACGTCTGCTGGATTTAATCTAAATTAAACAAAACTGGTGGACATTCTCCAGAGCACGTAAATTGCAGTGCAACCGAATCCCATCAACACCCCAGAAGCGATTCATTAAATGCAGGTGCAAAGCTTCACATCTGCATTAAAAGAACCATCTAAGGTCGTTCATTGACAATCGTTGATTAAATTAAATAAACTTGTTCTAAGAGAGAGCTGGCTACTAGCAATTGAATAAATTTGGCCAACTCTAATCCTCCGGGGTAGTGTTGGCTGGAGACCAACTGCAGGAAATCTGAGAAAAACCAACCGAGTATTTTATCTCTGGTTAGGGCCTATAGTTAGCACATATGGCGCATTGAATCGCGCGATCGATCGCTCAAAAACGGGCGCTTGGACTCACAACAGCACTTTTACGACGGAAGTCTAAGAAGTAGTTTGTCTGTTTTATTCCTATCGCCGCTATAAACAAAGAAGACAGTGACAAAAGAAGTGCATCCTACTTTAAGAGATAGATTCACACATAGCACGTTCGTTAATCCCTACCCAAAATTTGTCAGTTATTTTAGAATGTCAATTAACTCTTTTAACTCTTTTACAGACTTGATTAGGGGCGATATTTCATCAAGATTCCATTCCGCCAGAAGAAAAACTAGTACTAACTTTGAGGTAATTGTATTTAATATTATATTTTTATATAATATTTTAATATAAATACATATTATATTTTACAAAAAATGTAAAATGTAATCTTTGTAGATATGGATAATGTTGGCATTGCAGAACAAGAGTGTGACAAAATTGAAAAATACGTTGGAGAACAAGTTAAAACCTCCAGAACTTCCGTATCGTGCTGCGATGTTGCTGCTCGACTGGGAAAGCACTTCTAAACTACAGGAATGAAGAAGTGTAGATGTATTAATTTACGATTGTAGTTATGAAGGAGTTGTATAGTGTGAACTTTCTTGTGGTGTGTACACTAGATTGGGTGGAAAATTCTGGTGAATATGGCTGTGCGGGTAGGGAATTTCATTGTTTTGTACAGGGCTAAGAAATCCAGAATTCTTTGTATGACCTCCCGCAATGCGATTTTGTTTTTTACTCAATCTCGTTTGAGAAGTTTATGCTGTTCATTATAAAGAAAAGATCAGAACATTTTTCTTCGTCTTGATTTTTGAGCTCTGATTCACTTTTTTCGAAAAAATGATTATTGGATGGTAAAGCGGTTGTTGAACTGAAGGAACCAATTTACAAAACTTTGTATCTCGATTCCGGCGTTCAAACGCGCATAGTGGTGCATCTCGAGTCGCACGTTCGTAAACTCGTTGGGCTTAATCGCGCGTATGCTCTAATTTCAATTTTCGTATTTCACTAACGCGCGTTAGAAAACTTTTCATGGGGATGTGGTACGGGAAGGCCACATTTTTATTTCAAATAATGCTACTAGAAAGAAAGTATAACCATCCTTAACAGGAAAGGTTTGAATTGACAATCACAGCGGCTGTGACTTTGGTCTGGTCTGTGTTGTGCAGAAAGCAGATTTTATATATAACACTTAAATTAACTTAATACTGTAACTTAATTTTTCATATATATATGTGTGTGTGTGTGTTTCCTCATACCAGTATCCCTGGAATGAGGGAGTTTATTGTTGATTTATTTTCATGCTTCCATTCCAGTGATTAAATTATTTCTTCTACAAAATTATCTATATTTATATATTTCCTATTAGCTATTTACATACTTTTTTTTCTCTGAGAAAACAAGATGGTGTTGTCTATATTGTTGAGGAATTTGCACGAATACTTCAGATATTTTTTTTCAACCAGTTGATTCTTCTTCAAAGGCCAAGATCCCTGTGATTCAAGGGTGATTCCTCGTATTAGGATCTTCTCTCGATGTCATACATTGGGCAGGAGAAAATGATGTGATCCCAGTCTTGAATCTCGGTTCCACAAGGACAGTTGGGTGACTCGACGATGTTAAACCAAGCTAGATATTCACGATGTTACCCGTGACCGCTTAACATCATTGTTATTTTATAGTTTAGTATAATGGGGGTGGCTAGTCTACTCCTTATAGTAGGAAAATAATCCTTAGTCCGAAGAGCTTTGGATGAAGTTTCCCACATTTTTCCCCAAATATAGACGGTCTGTTGGCTGCATTTTCATTTCATATAGGTGATGGGAATTTTTGCAAAAGAAGTTTCCAAGATCTGGCTTGCAGCAGCTTCCTTAGCTCGTTTGTCTGCTTCTTCGTTTCCCCGATGCCCTGCGTGCGCTTTTATCCAAGACAATGCTATTTTCCATCCTCTATCTTGTAAAATGCGTATATGACGTCAAATTGCCATGGCCATTTCACTACAATTTTTGTTGTTTTGCAAAATAGCGAGTGAAATGAGGCTGTCTGTTCAGATATTCGCAGTTCTGTCTGTCTCACTAGGTTCCGGGTTGCATAACCATTTTAAACTTTTATAGATTGCTAGCACCTCCGCCTGGTTATCAGAACACCAATCGGCTAATTTGAATTGCAAGCATGATTGTGGTGTAATCTTATTTCTCTCATATATAACGCTGCTGCAACCTACCAGGCCATTCATTCTATTGCCGTCCGTGTATATAAAGAATGTTGTCCATTCGAGGGGTTTGTCGGAGATTTGTAATATCTCTGCAGGGTGACAGGACTTATTTAGTGGTATTGGTGTATCAATGTCACATCAGCGTCCTATAGGGCAGAAATTATTCTTAATCGCTGTGTATGTATTTATAATTTTCTCTATTTTTAAAAGAATAATTTGAGGCTTCATGGGAAATCGTTTTGTAGCCTTTTATAACTCTTAACATCATTAAACGATGAACTTAAGAGTTATCTCTTAACGAGACTTTATTCGTTGAATGTTTCTTTTCTTTTTTAAGGGTCACTGCCAGGCTTGAACCCATAGGTAGTATGGGTACAATTGCACCTTTATATATTATTCTTAATGCATCAGCACCCAAGTACCAGTACACCTTTGCAGACTTGCAAAGTTGATGAATGAGTTGTGATTCCCGATTGCAGATATAGTCTAGGTCAGGGGTGCTCAAACTTGAACTGCTGGCGATCTACCTCAATATTTTTAGACTACTTACGATCGACTCTGAGAGGCTGCAAGTGTGTGTGATGCAGGGTTGTCGTACATACACGATACACCCTACCTACCTAGGTAGGGTGTACCGTAGCATATATAGATATTAGCTTTCTGCACAATATAGGTACATTATTTTAGTCAAGGTTTGGGTTAGGTTTAGTTAGGTTCTTCTCTACAATATCAATGAAAAAACTCATAGTTATTCAAAATTGCGAGTTTATTGGTTGTTACAAAACAAAAGAGTTACATATGGTGTTA